GGGGATTGAGGTTAATTGGCGTTCTGTATGCTTTGGTTACCTGAATGTCAGATTGTTTCCTCATATTTGGGAAGTTTTCTGCTATTACTTCTGCCCATATGTTTTTAATATCATTTGTATTGACTCCTTCTTTCTCTTTGATGCCTATTAGTCTCACATTGTTCATCTTTTCATCATCTTGCAGGTGATGGATTATTTTTTCCTGCATCCTAATTGTTTTTAAGAGATCCTTTCTTACCTTTTACTAGCTGCGCCAGTGTCTTCAAGATCTGAAACTCTGTCTTCACTTTCACTTAAACAGTTTTGCAAGCTTATGATTGAGATTTTAAATGCCTCTATATCTCTTTTACTCTGCTTCATGCGATCTATTTCTTTCCTGTATTGTTCATTCAAGGAATCTGTCATTTTTCTAATCTTCTCTATTTTTTTTATCAATGTCTTCTTTAGAAGCAGTTATAAATTCTTTTACTGCAGTGTTTTTTTCAGATTGGCTTTCCTCCCTATGTTTCTGTAGTTGATTCTTTACTTCAGATGCTATGAGTTCTGAGAATACTTTTTTTATTTCAGAAAAGAATTCCGCTCTGAATTCCTGTATAACTTTCTGCTGTTGCTCATTTACTATTGGCGCTGTTAATTCATACATTGGAGCTGAGCTAGTAGAAAAGAATTCCGCTCTGAGTTCCTCTATGACTTTCTGCTGTTGCTTATTTACTGTTGACACTATTAATTCATACATTTGAGCTGAGCTAGTGTCCTCTGCACTTGTTCTGGGTGGGCATTGGGTTTCCTCCATATGTTTCTTCATTTGATTCTTTTTTGCAGATGTTATTAATTCAGGGATTTCTTTTTTCATTTCCAACTGAGTTCCTCTATACCTTTATGCAGCTGTTTCTTTATTTCAGAAGCTGTTGATTCATTGATTTCAGCTGTGTGACTTCCAATTTGTTCTGCGTTAGCGTCCTCTGCACTTGCTATGGGTGGCCTTGGGTTCTGAGATTGCCTTTTGCTCCTTCTCATTGTCATTTTGTGCAGCACTGTCTTCTGACCTTTGTTGTAGATCTTTCTTGCAGTTATAACCTTAGCACCTATTGAAGTTTAGGTGTAGATCTACAAATTTTGGATTTATCCAGTTGTGCCTGGCTTGGGTCTGGTTGCTGTGCTCAGCTCCTTCGTGCTGCTGTTCTTGGGGGTGAACCTATTGTGCCCCTCTGGCAAGATGTTCTGCTCCTGGACTAGCTGGGTGGTTCTGTCCCTTACATTCTCTGCAGGGATTGCAGCTGAAGGGTTTCACCCCAGGCCTGTATGCCAGGCCTGAGCTGAGTGTGGAGGGGTCAAGATGGAGTAGCGGGGAGAGGCAGCTCTCCCACACTCACTGGGCCTGGGCTATGACTGGATCTTGTGTTGCTTTCTTGACTTGGGTTTTGGTTTAGCACCCAAAAACTCCAGATCTGATTAAAGAGTGAAGAATTCTGGCTTGGGGAGTGTTTCTCCCCCACCTAAGCCACAAGAATTTCAGGCCCTCCTGGGTCTAGCTCATCACACCTCTGATGGTTTGCTTAAGGAAGGCTACCCGTCCAAATGATAGAACATCTCTCCCCCAATCCCTTTCTTTTTGTATATGCAAAGACCTAACATGATTTGTGAAAACAATAAAACAGACTTTGCCCCAATCTTATTATAAAAGATAGAAAAATAAAATACATCAGGGGCTTTAGAAATCTCACATTGGAAACAAAGTGTAGGGGAAAGATATGAACTGTTTTTCTTGTTTCTTGGGATGAGAAAATAGAATTGAGAAACTCTCCAATTTATTGTTATTATTTTTTTTAGTATTTGCAAATTGGACAAGTACAAGTCATGCAAACAATGACAGGAAAGGCGAGTGGTGCACATCTTGTTGTTTCTGCCACAACAACACTTCCTACAAGGGAAATGTGGAGTGCTTGCTTAGCTGAATGATGCAAATTGAATGTGAGGTTTCCGGATATTTCAAGGTTGTTGGCCTGAGTTGCTTTTAGTGCCCATTTGAAGTGCATTTTGAGTCCAAGTGCCTGTGTCCTTCCAGCGGGGCTTAAAAGAGAGGCCAGTGAGTGAACCTAGTTCTTGGCATTTAAAACAAAGGTCTGAGATTCAGGCAGAATGCAGAGAGCTGGCCCTATCTGTCCACTACCCCCATCCACAGTTTCCACCAACATGGATCAGAAATATTAGAGAACATGTCGCATCCGTATCAAACATGTATGGACTCTTGGCCTTATTTTCTAAATAATAGGACAACTATTTACATAATATTTACATTGCATTGTATGAAAGGGAGACAGACTATTCCATGGGAAGGAACAACTAGGATGAGGGAAAGGAGAAAAGAAAGAAAGAGGGAGGGACAAAGACCCTAAATGTATGTATACAGGACAGATTGGATAATTATACTGCTGATTTCTATTGATTTGTACAAAGGAACAGTTAGTGATTTTTTTTCTTCCTTTTAATTTTTTTGACCAATTTTGTAAGCTTGTATCTGGTAATCTGAACAGTTTATTTAAAGACAGAAACATGCCATATATCAATCACTGTTGAATTCATATCATCTTATTTAGTGAAATTCTTTATCGTTCCTAATATTTTAAAAATTTTAGGGGCTAGGGAGCTAGCTCTATGGTCTAAGTGCCTGCCTGGCAAGTTCAAGGACCCAGGTTCAATCCCTGGTACCACATGCTATGCATGCCCAGGAACCCCGGCATCACTGTGCTGGCTACTGAAACCAGGCGTGGTGGCACACATCCGTAATCCCAGCACTGGGGCGCTGAGACAGGAGGATCACTATGAGTCTGAACTACATAGTAAGACCCTGTAACAAGTAAATAAGAGATTAAAAAAGTTAAAATTTTTATTCTCTTTAAAAAATTAAAAGAAATAACATAATAAACAAGCCCAAGGGGACAAAATATTTACATTGCAGTTGGTATTCTAGGTAACCTGGAGAGGATTTAAGGTATGCAGGAGGAAGGCAGGTTATGTGCAAATACTGTGCCATGTTATTTGGAAAATTTGAGCCAGTGGAGACTTTGGTACCCATGGAGTCCCTGGAAGCAGCCCCAGGGAGCACTCAGGTTCCTCGAGCTGCAAGCTGTGTGCAGCGGACAGTCTATTCCTGAGTATGAACCCGTGTTTCACGCTCACAGAAGTACTGCACTGGGTCTATGGCATGTTCCATCTTCCTCCAGGATTTCCACTGTCCTCCTGTGGCCCTGGCCCTCCACAGCCACTGAGGTACCGATTGTCATGAGGATTTACAAACCTCTGACCTCCTGTTAGTGAGATTTGGCTTGGCCTCCTTTCTTCAGCACAGCTACCCTTGGCTGCAATTTCCTGGCAGCTTGGTCCTGTGATTGCTGAGTGGTGTCCTATGCCACAGAGCTACTACTGTTTGGCCACATTTCCCATGTGGGTGGTAACTGAGTCTGTTCTCAGTGACTGTGAGCACAGCTGCCATGAGCATTTGGGCACCTTCCCTGGTACTGCATGTGGCTTAATTTCTCTTGCATAAAAAGTGAGAAGTGACTTTGTGAGGTTCTATGGTAGGTGAATACTCAACTTTTTGGAAATCAGAAAACAGCTGATAGCAAGCTTCTTGCGACAGGGAAGCAGGAGCAGTGGCCCTTAGGCTTCCTGGGGTGCAGTCAGGGGAGTGGTTTTCTGGGGCCTGAAGCCCTTGGGTCCTTTGAGGCAGGGATGGGTGCTCATTGAAGAGAGCACAAGACAGCTTGGAGTAGCTTGGACTCTAGGTGGGCATTTCTGTTTGCTTGCATCGAGTTATGAGGCCTTTGGTAAATAAATCAAGATTTTGGTCTGTTTCCTTCTCTGTAGACGCAAGGTTGGACTTTCATCCCAAAGCCTGGGTGCTCTGTGACCACAGTGCAGCCTTTACAATACAGGCGCCGTCTTGTGTGCACCCTACCGAGATTCACCAGCCAGCGTTCCTGAAGCGCCTCCCAGCTCTTCGCTGTGCTGTGGAAGATGGGTGGGCAGAATGTGTGGGCGATGTGCAAGCCCCTCCTGGGGGCATCCAGGTCGCTGGCACTGAGTCTCACCTACACGCGGTCTCCACAGTGATCCATGTTCCCTGGCAGGTCCATGCTGACTGGGCTCTACCCCCCCACTTCTGGAACCATCTACATCAATGGCAAGAACCTGCAGACCGAGCTGTCCAGCGCCCGAGCCGAGCTGGGGGTGTGTCCGCAGCAGGACGTCCTCCTGGACAAGCTCACCGTCCGGGAGCATCTGCGGCTCTTTGCAGCCATAAAGGCACCACAGTGGACCAAGCAGGAGCGACAGCAGCAAGTCAATAAGTGAGTAAGCGTCTGTCTCTGCCCCCCTCACTCCTGCCCTGTCCTGGAGGTGACAATGACAGAAAGAGACACTTTACCCAGTTGTCATTGTCTGTGATCCGAGCGTGGTTCTCAGCCATGGAATGAAGGCACAGCCAGCAGCCCTGAGGCGGCTGGAGAAGCTTTGAAGGGGATTGCAGGCCACAGTGAATGGGCTTTGTCTTTGACGTGGACAGAGCTGAGCAAACAGCAAGTGTGATAGGCTGCATGTGGAAGTTTGCGTGTCTGCAGCAGAGCTCCCATGGGTGTCTAGAGATAAAAAGAATGCCACGCCAGACAGGAAACTGGTAAGGAAGAGCCTCACTAGACAGACTAGGGGCTGGAAGTTGGCCTTGTAGGCTGGGCGCTGTGACTGGCCTGAGACCCAGAAGGTAGTTCTTGTGCTGCAGGTACCCCAGCCTTGGGAAACGACATGACAGGCTGCGTCCCATGTTGTTTGCTTTTCCATCACCCAGAACCCCAGGTGGCAGGACTGCTAATCACCAGTAGTCAGCAGCAGACACAAGAACATGAGCCACGCCATCACAGGCCACCAAAGCCAGTGGCAAAGACTGGGTTGGAGTACATCTGGGTTGGATCCCAAGAGGACTGTGGTGCACAGATGGAAGGAGGAGCCCTAAGAAAGGGAGGGCAGTGGCACAGAGGGAGTGGGTGCTGGGCCCCCACTGGGAGAGTTAGCTCTGTGCAAGTGAGCAGAGGGGTTGGGGAAGCGGCCCGTGGGAGCCCTGGTGCATCTGCGAGGAGGTGCTGAGGGGGGCGCACGCTGCTGGGGAGCACTGCAGGGCCTCATTCAGGTGTCTCCTCCCTAGGAGCCAGGGGGCCTTGTCCCAGTTTCTAGATGAGGCAGCTGGACCCAGGGAGATGGGGCCATGTGGTAACATAAGGATGGGAGGATGTGGCTCAGGTGGGCAGCTTGATGCCACACACACTCTGCTGCTCTCCTTGGCAGGGTTGCTATGTGACAGCGTGTGGGATGGAGGCCTCTGGGCAGCTGGGGCTTGCTGGGCAGAGGAAGGGGTTCTCCAGAGCAAGGCTGCAGTGCGGACGACCCTTAGGGACCTGCGGTCTGAGAAGTGAAGGGGGATTTGTTCCCAGCTGCTTCCTGTGGCTTCAGTGAGTGCCGGTGATGGTGGCTTCTACATATAAGCCCGAGGCTGTGACAGGCAGGCAGGTGGCCCCACGCATCTGTGGCAGGTCTTGAGTGCAGAAGGCAGAGCTCCGGCTCCTCATGGAGCGGGCCTGGGCAGCGTCAGCCTGAGGGAGCCTTCCCGGAGCAAGGCCGCCCTCAGGAGCAGGCTGCCTGTACACCCCAACCCTAAATGCACAGAGCCCGTAGGTGATGGAAGAAAGCTCTGGCTAGAAATAAACAAACCAGGAGCCCAACCCAGAACGTGGTGGCTGTGCGCGTCACTCGGGGTCAGGAGGTGCGAGCAGACACCCAGAGGAACACACACAGGTGCTGGCCCCCCCGCACTGCTCCATGGAGAGCAGCCCTAGAGAGAGTAGGTGTCCGCAGGGGTGCGCTGTGCTACCAGGTGACGTTCCCAGCCTGGGAAAGTGTGCCTGTTCAGCTGGGCTCGGCTGGAAATAGGCGGCTGCATTCGGACCTCAGCGACAACAGGCTCCCCGGGAGAACAAAACAAGCTCTCTCTGAACGGATGCTCACACCGCAAGGGCAAATGCAGTTTGAACCTGACGCATGGACAGAACGCTCCTGGGACAGGGGCTGCTGCGGACAGTGACGTGTGCTACCGCATCGTCAGCTTGGTAGTTCTTTCTTCCTTTTCCATTTTTCAAAGTTGGCCCATTAAGTGGGCATTCTCTGCTGCAGAGCACGGCGGGTTCCTATACCTTGAGGTCTTCAGAAGGTGGCCAGGTGACAGTAGCCATTGAAGCGACACTGGGCCCTTGCGCGCACAGGGACACGTTGATAGGAGCAAGAAACGATCTTAAATTTGAGTGGGTACTTACTGAGAGGTGGCTGGGGATTGTGTGGACTACATATTACTCGATTGCAAATTGGCAAATATAAGACCCAATTTCATCTATGAGGAAAAACGCAGGCTGCCTATTTTAATTTGAAAACATCCTGTCTCCCCCGCACCACAGTACAGCCTGTTGTGATTGTGACCGGAGCTTTACGCAAGCGCCTCCCAGCACCGTACAGACCTCATTCTCTTATCTGGGTACCAGGCAACCTTAATGGTTATCAATTCCCAGCATGTTGCCTAGCAACAAAGCCAATTTGCACGAAAGCAATCAGAGTGAGATCATGTTTGAGGACAGCAGTTCTCAATTAGGGGGAAGTAAAACTGAAACATCAGATTCGTAGCCCACCGGCTTCTTATTAGCTTCCTGTAGCACGGCTTGTTTTCCTTCACGCGGAGCTTCCCTGGAACCAGGTTCAGGGGAGGTGGCAGCCCTCAGGGAGTGTTTGTCAGGATTCAGGTCATCACTGTTCCGCCCTTACCCTGGCCTAGGAAAGATGATAGTGACTCCGGGAGGACCGTGCTTGGGCTGTCAGTCAGTCAGTCAGTGGGGAGGGATTAGGGAGCTAAGTTCACTCGGGCTGGTTTGGAGCGATGAGATTGAGGCGGAGGGGACAGCTGATGGAGCCTGGCCACCCCAGGCTCTGGGGAATGAGGAGGAGCCTGCCGAGGAGGCAGGAGGTGACCCACGGGGAGGACTGCAGGGCAGCGGACCAGGTCCACAGAGGAGCAGGACCTGGTGAGGGCGAGAGGTGCGGCTGGGACTGACCTTGGGACTCAGTAAGCAGAGGGCATCGGTCACCTTGACAAGGGCAGTTGTTTTTGTACCAGGAATCAAACTCAGGGACCTGTGCTTGCCAGGCAGGAGCTGGGCTGCTGAGCTGTATCCCTGGCCCGAGAAGGGCAATTTTAATAGCAGGACAGATGGACACCTTATCGGAGCCAATGGAAGAGAGAAGGGAAAGAGAAAGATACACAGCTGTGCATTTCCCCAGGAATTATCCTGCGTAAGGAGCAAAGAGAGAGACGGAGACAGAGGACGCTTCAGAAAGAGGCGTCACTGCGCTATGTCTGCGCACTGCCCAGCTTTCCAACTGGGAGGGGCGATGGGAGGAGCCGGGCAGGGCGTGGCTCGCAGGACCTTGCGAAGCAGTGGCAGAGAGGGACAGGCTCTCGGGGGTCCACGTAGGAGTGCAGGACCAAGGCAGAGTGGGAGGATTTTGATTGTGTCAGTGATTTTCAGGGTTAAGGGTGAGCGGAGAAAAGTGTGAGTAATGACGGCTAGGGCTGTAGAGGCAACGGGGGAGGACCTCCAGGGAAGGAGGAACAATACAGGACTGATTCGAGCGGATTTAAGTGATTGCCGAGTGCACAGAGGGCCTGAGGGAACAAAGGTGGGCTGAAGAGAGGGCATGGGCTCGAGACCCCGAGGAGCTGCCGTTGTCCTGATGGCAAGGTCCGGGTGTGAGCAGTGGGAGGAGGGGGCGAAGAGAGGGTGCCCTGCACTGGGCGGTGGGAGCCTCAAGAACAGAGAGAGAACTAAGACCGCAGAGAGGGACACAGGGCAGATTCAGGAGCAGGCGGATGCCTGCGACAAGTAAGGTAGTGGGTGGTGGACCGCGGTGGCCTGGTAGTCAAGGCTGGGCTTGTAGACGGAGTGAGGAAAGATGTAGTGAGGGCCACGGTGAGATGCAGTGAGGCCCCATCCCTCACGTACATCCCCCGGGAGGGGAGCCCCCCATCTGAGAAGAGGATTTATGATGGGTTGGTGGTCTGGGTTGAGCCCGTCTCTCCCTTCCTAGTTGGGGTCATCACATGGTTCTCCCTGTACTTTAAGAACAGATTCTTTTTGTCCCCTTCACATACCGTGCTTTGCCTGAGTTCTGGCAAATACTTCCCCACTTTTTCTGGAGTGTGCTGTCCGTGTCTCACCCAATCCAGTCATGCTACCTATCCGGCTGACATCTTGCTTGTTTTCTCTGGAGTCTGAGGGGCTCACAGCAGCTCCTGGGCCTGGGCTTTGCCTCCCTCGTATGCTATTGTAGTTGCTTGCTTGATTTTCCCAGTAGGCCTAGAGCTTCTCGAGTCAAAGGCAAGGGCACTTGGAAACTTGGGTCAGACATGAAGCATGTGGGGGGCAGCTGGACCTAGGGAAGCTGACTGGAGCTCTTTCTGGGTCAGGATAAAACTAACTGATTAATGGATCAGACATGAAAAATTTACACGGTCATTAGGCAAGTGAGTCTGTGGGTTTCCCTCAAGTCTCTTCTTAGGATTCTAGAATGTTCCAGGGGACTCTGTGTCCAGAGTCTGCCCTGTGTCCCTCTCTGTGGGTCTCGGCCTGGAATGTGTTTACTTTTCCCTTGTTGCTGAGACAAAATCCCTGACACTCCAAGTTAAAGGAGAAAAGGTTTATTTGGCTCACAGTTTGTAGTGGTTTTGGTCCCACATCGGCTGGCATCAAGGCAGGGTGGCATATGGCAGAGAGCCGAAGTTCATGATAGCAGAAGACAGCAAGAGCAAGAATCTTAGATGGAGCCACACAAGCCTCTTTCTGTCCCTTAGATTGCAGGTTAGTGGGATTCAGGTGGTGCCAGTCCAATCAGTGGGCAGATCCAGCAGTTACCACCTTCATCCCAGTGCTCTTGAGCCTAGCAGTGAGCCATGGATCAGCCACTAACTCTAGATTCAGTCACCCCAAGAAAGCCCTGTCTGTCACTGCCTGAGGCTTGGGGGTGGGCGTTGAGACACAAAGCATAGCATGGAAGCGGTGCTTAGCTTACTCGTGCAGCACCTGCGTGGCCTCCTCGGATAGAAGGGTGGTGCTTCGGCTCCCCGTGCTCAGGAAGGGGTGCAGGCCGGTGGCCCAGGGAGTCCGAGACATCAAGGGAAGGCTCCCATGAAACATGGGGTCTTCAGCAATGGTGTGGACTCACAGTAGGGGAGAGGGCTCTAAACATTTGGGAGGGTCAGCAGGGCCTGGGGCTAAGGAGGGGACACTGCTGGCGAAGAGGAGGAGGGGGGACTTTGTACAGGGCAGCGTTTGCACGGATACGGATCTGGCATCTGAGTACTCAAGGCTGAAAGGTCCCTGAGGAGAAGAAGCTTGCTGTAATTTCCTAGCAAATGGTGGCTTCTACTTTGCCTGTGTCCTGCTGTGGAACTTCTGGAGTCCTCAAGAAGGCGGGGCACTACTGACTTGGGGCTTGGGGGGCCTTCCCTGGTGAGCTGTGGTGCTTTGCTTCTTGTCATGAAGGCACTAGGGCCTGGCCACACCATCACACCCCGTCCATCCTTTGGGGACACTAGTCCCTCCTCATCAGGAAGCGTGTGTGCTGTGGAGGCAGGTGCCACCCAGAGAGGGGCGACCGGGGCTGCTCCCCCGCGCTGTGCTCGGCACGTGCTGCTGACCCACACCACCCTTAATGCATTGCATGTATCACTGGCCCATCGGGGAGGGCTGCGCTGCTCTGTCAAGGCTCACATGCTTATGTGGAGCCCAACCCAAGCCCTTTCATGTGTCTGTGGCTGATGTGGACTTAGGCCATGGTAAGCTTTTCCACATGAAGTGAAATTCAGATCAAAGCCCCCAGGCCTTCAGGGAGAAGTCTGAGAGCTTTCTTGTCCTTTCAGAACTCTTGAGGATGTGGGGCTCATGCAGCACCAGCACAAACAAATTGGGGCCCTGTCTGGAGGCATGAAGAGGAGGCTGTCCATCGCCATTGCTTTCCTGGGCCAGTCAAGAACCGTGGTCCTGGATGAACCCACCAGCGGGGTAGACCCTTGCTCCCGCCGCAGCCTCTGGGACATTCTGCTCAAGTACCGGGAAGGTAGGTGCTGGGTTCTGCTGCACTTTCTCTCCTAAGATACGGAGGTACGGAAAAGGTGGCTACTGCGTGTGAAGCACCAGCCCCATCCCACGAGGACTTCCTGTCACTTGCAGAACAAATGCAATCTTCATAAGAGCTGAAAGTCCCTAGATCGACATCTCTGTAGTGCTCAGACTTGCTTGCTTTCAGTTGTCCCATGCTGCGGCCAGCTCGGGAGACGTGGGTCGTTGGAGAACCCTTTCAGAGGGCCTGCAGGACAGACCTTCCTGCGTGAGTCCACTTCCTGCCACTGTGACAAAATGCCCAAGGGACAACCCATAAGGAAGAGAGGTTATTTGACCTCATGGATTTGGAGGTTCTGGTCCGTGGCATGTTGTTCCTGTTGTCTGGGCCTGGGGAGGCTGGGTGCATGCCAGCAGGAGCAGGGAGAAGCAGGATGTGACAGCAGGGTGGCTGGGAAGCAGTGTGAGAGACAGGAATGGCTGAGGTCCTTCCCGGTGTCCTCCCTGCACTGACGCCATCACCTGCCTGAGGCTTCTATCCCTACACCAGCAGGCCCAGCTGGTGACGTAGCCATTGTCAGGGGGGCCTTTGTGGACAGTTAAAATTCAAACCATAGCAAGTGCTTTTCTCAGATGGGAAAGCTAAGGTGTGGAGAGATGGGTGTGTGTTGTTCTCTCAGCTGAGTGGCCATGGGGCCTGTGGGTTTCTGGCTTCGCAAGTCCAGGTTTCTCCTCTCCATTGCTGATCACTTCCACTCAGGGACATTGCATGGACTCTTACTAACTTCCGGCTTCTGGCTCTGCTCTCCAAGCAGCCAGGAGGTGCGGCCTGCAGTGGGAACTCTGGTAGCAACATTTTCCTTGGAAAGAAACCTGGGTGGTCCTGGACCACCTGAGTGCTGGTAAACAAATGATGTTCAGAGACCAGATGAACACAGCACCTCACACACTGCTGTTTGCTTTTGGTTTCCTCTTGCTGAGCCTAAGGGCTTTGCCCCACCTGAGTGGAAGGCCCTACCTCCCTGGTGGCGTGGATGAGAAGAAAGAATGGGGAAGGGCCGTTCCTCTTTCCAGCACCCAGAAGCTGAGCCCAAAGGTTGTGGTCAGTTTGAGTCTCATAGGAGACATTCTGTCCGTTGGTACCCAGGCACAGGCTGGAACAATAATGGGGAAGGATGACGGGTGCTTCAGGGACCTCCTATTCTTTCTGTTCACTATGTTAGAGGAATCACAATGGAGAAGACAAGGAAGCCTTCGGGAAAATGAAGCCAGCAGTGCGGCCCGCTGCTCTAGTCTGGATTTGGGCATGAGCTTGGCAGTTGCAGGAGGAAGGTGCAGGTCCATGGGCAGCCCTGGGTCAGCCACAGTAGACTTCCTGAGGCTGAGCAGATGCCCGGGAGATTTTCCCATCTTCTCCTGGCTCTGGGCTTCTGGGAGAAGAGAATGGAGGTTGTAGCTGCAGAAGGACCAGGGGATCTTTGGAGCTGGATGGGGGAAACCAGAGTGTATTTGTCACAGGGTTGGTTGACAGCGAGGACCTGAGACAGGGAGGAGACAGGGAGTACTCTGACCTTGCGGCTTCCCTGGCCACACTGCAGATGCTACTGTTGGGGGGAGGACAGCAGCCCAGGGGCTCCAGCGTCACCCAGAGGCCAGAGGGGCTGAGCGAGCTGCACCCAAAGGCCTTGATCCATTTCCAGCCTCTTGACCTACGTGTTCTTTGGGGAAGACACAAAAGGTGCAGTAATGAGGAAATGAAAGACTTCAGTGAAAGACACAGTGGCTGTGTGAGGGAGCCGGTTCCAGTGAAGATGAGACTACTTTAGATCGGAGCAGTGAATTGCTTACCATCTTGAGCAGGGTCTGATAAAGAAGACAGATGATGGGCTGGGGAGATGGCTCAGCTCCCCAGTACTGCGTGCCATGTAGGCCACTGAAATCAGGCATGGTGGTGCTGGGAAGGCTGAGACAGGAGGATCTGCGTGAGTCTGAGCTGTGTAGTGAGACCCTGTACCAAATAAAGAAAGAAAGAAAGAAAGAAGACAGATGAGAGATAGACACACAGATTTCATGACCTCTATTCCTGTGTGATTCCACTGCTCTTGTTTATTTTAAAAATCAGAGGCAGATTGTTAAGTGTTTAGTAAATATCTGAAGAATCAGCATAAAGCTAATTTGGGCAGAAAACCAGAGACAGCACTAGTTGGGGAAGAGGAGCGCTTTCTCCAACTTGCTCTTAGACAGGAGGTCCCGTCTCTGCAGTTCACCAGTCCGGTCTTCAGAAAGCTCCATTGGAGCTGTCCCGACTGAAATGCAAGCGGATTAGAGGGGCAGGACTGAGAGAAAAATGTGTCTGAAAAACTCCAAGGTACAACCACTTCTGCAAACAACCTCAGGCCTTCTTGTGCCTGCTGCAGTGCTAGGAAGCAGATCTAAAAGCACTCAGAAACAATGTCGCCTGCGGAGTGAACAGGTTCTTCTGTCGCAGCCTGGGGTGCTGGGTGTTCAGTCTGCCAGGGTCAGTGAAGGGTACTTGGAGATCTTGGCCCGGGGGTGGGTGCTTCTGTGCCTCCCTCAGGAAGACCAGGAAAGGCAGAAGACACTGGGACAAATTCACAGGCGACAGCTCATTTCCTGTACCGGGTTCCTGGCTCACAGCGTGGCCTGTGTGACCCAAGAGACAGGGTCAGACTCCTCTGAGCTCCAGTTTTCCTAGTTGGAAGTGGAGACAATCGCATGCCCTCACAGGATTTTGTGAGAAGTGACTGTGCTCCATGAAAGCTTGAAGCTCAGCATCGATACGCGTGCTGGACTCACGACAGGCCACCGTTGTTATGGCCATGGACCAGCAGACGTGACTGCGGGAGACACACCTGGGCGAGGAACGGTGTGGAGTCTGCTGTCAGAGCCGAAGAGAGAGCCGGCAAAAGTGGCGTCTGAGGAGACCAGAGCGTGGACCGCTTGCTCTGCGGGTTAGGATGGGCCTCCGTTGCCCATAATGTCCACCGAGACACCGTCATGGGTGAAACATCTGTGACCTTGATATAAATCCTTTCAGAATGTTTATTTATTTTCCAGCTCTGCTGAGATATAGTTGACAAAGGAAGCTCATAAATATGGACTCTGTACAGCAAGCTGGTGTGGTGTAAGTATGCATTGTAAAGTGCCGAAGCGAGGGTAATCACAGTGCCCATAACCTCAGAAACTTACTATTCATGCACGGGAAGAGGACATTCACGGCCTAAGTTTTACCGTCAGCAGTTTTACCGTCTGCCATGCACCATTGTGAACTGTCGTCTCTCGGTACGGCGCTGCAGAACCCAGGCCAGAGCTCGCTCTTCGTGCACCGGCGAGACACTGGCCACGCCCCCGTTGCTCCCTCTGACCCTCGCCAT